TTTTTTTTTTTCCTCCGGTACCGGGAACCGAACTCACGACCTTGCGCTTGCCAGGCAGGCGCTTTGCCGCTGAGCTAAATCCCCAGCCCCAACAATATACTTTGAATAGTTGTAGAGTTAGAGCAGAAGTACGCTACTTAGGGAATGGTCACAGGAAGGAAGACCTTCAAAGTTAAAAGTACGTAGCTGAGATGTATGACTACCTTGTCCTTGCAGTGGAACATTAAGATAAAAAAATTGGGGGAAGGAGTTATTTTAGAAATGGTAGATAGGATGAGATGGAGAACAATTCAAACAGGAGTCTATTGCAGTGTCCGTCGATGAGATAATGAGTGCCTGTATTAGGAGGGTGACAGTCAAAATAGAGAAAAAGGGATAATTGAGACATTTGCGTTGAAGGAGACTTGATCATTAGCATATATTCACACATATTCAGCGAGGGAATAAGGGATTGAGAAAGGGAGGAATGAAGGGAGGAAATACAGGGAAAAACAAGAATGATTACTTCTTCCTTTATATCCTGAGAGATTTAGTATTGGTAGAAGATATATAGGTTTTAAAAAAGGTGGATGAAGATGTGTTCAATTTAGACATACTAAATTTGAAGTGATAACTACTTTACAAGTAGAAGTGGCCTGCATAAGTTATTGGATATATGCTTCTGGAACATAATGTACGGCCAGAGATGCTGATTAAAGGTGTATGTATAGTCAGTCTTTTGTATCTGGGGGTTTTACATTGGATTCAGCAACTGAATAGAAAATATGTGAAAAACTTGCATCTGTACTATACATTTATAGGCTTTTCCCCTTGATATTCCCCAAACAATTCAGTATAACAGATATTTACATAGCATTTACATTGTATTAGATAGTATAAGTAATCTGGAGATGAGTTAGTGTAAATGGGAAGATGTGAGTAAATTATGTGCAAATCCTAAGAAACCATTTTACAGATGGGACCTGCTCACCTGCAGATTTTAGTATCAGTGGAGAGCCCTAGAGCTATTTCCTATAAGTACTGAGGGATGGCTTTGTATACAGATGTTCTTTTTTTTGTATATAGATGTTTTTAAAGGCATATTATGAGAAGTTTCCAAGGAGAAAACTGGAAGATCAATAAATAAGATTCAGAAAACACCAGAAGAAATAATTTAATAGTTAGGTTGATTTTAATGAATTTACTTAGCAATATATTTTAAAACTTGTTTTGATACAACCAGTATCCTATTTGTTTAAAAATACTTGTGAAAGTCAGTATATTCTGATCTCTTTTGATCTGATTCTAAAGCCACAATATTCTGATTTATTGCAACTTTTTGTAGATCGCTGTGCTAAGAAGACAACAACGTATGATAAAAAATCGAGAGTCTGCTTGTCAGTCGCGCAAGAAAAAGAAAGAATATATGCTAGGGCTGGAGGCAAGATTAAAGGCAGCTCTTTCGGAGAACGAGCAACTGAAGAAAGAGAATGGATCCCTGAAGCGGCAGCTGGACGAAGTTGTATCAGAGGTGAGTGGTACTGACGGAGCCGGCGGAGATGGTTAGAGATCTTTTTTCTGATAAACAAATTGATAAGCTTGTACATCTTAAATTACATAAAACAACAGTGCTAGGAAAGTGAGGGTATCCTAAGTCCCAAAACATTTGTAGTAACAGTGAAAAAATTTGGAAGGACCTTTTGAATTGTATCTGCCAATCTGCATGCAAGAGACATCTTTTCTTTTTTTTTCTTATTTTTTAATTTTTATTTTAAAGAGTAAAAGAAGGATAACGTAGAAATAGGGGGAAGACATCTTTTCTTGAGTTTCTCCTAACTCTACCTTAGCACCCCCTTTTCATACTGAGTCACATTAAAGTGCCTGAATAATACTCAGGTCTTTCTGTTTGTGAAAGAGAGTAATGCAAAAGGAAAATGTGTTTTTATCTTTTCCTTTGTTTTTTTTTCCGGTACCAGAAATTGAACTTACGATCTCTCGCTTGCCAGGAAGGTGCTGTGCCGCTGAGCTAAATCCTCAGCGCCTGTCTTTTCCTTTGTGTACCTATTCACTGTTACATTTTTTTGTGTTCTACTGCCAATGCTAATCCTGAGATTAATCTCCGTTCTGTTCATGAACTCTTCTTTCAGCATTTCCACTGCAGTGCAGGACTGAACCAAATGGACGCCAATTAAATGGTGCATCTTGGCCTGTTCAGTCTTGCTCTTTAGCACAGGGGAGTATTCCAGTGGGTTGCTGAAAATAGTGACTTCAAAGACAGTGAAATAACTCAGACACATATGCTTAAATATTGTATAGTTTCTCTTATATGAAAGACCCAAAATATAAAAAAAGAACAAAGTAAAATCTTTCTCAAATGGGAAGGGGATCAGGAGGTGAAGGGAAGGGGGAGGCAGGGGAGGAGAAGGAGATAGAAAAAGAATTAAGACTGTGTTATGTACAGGTACCAACTTCCCATGAGGAACATAAACATTATATACTACAAACATGTACTAATAAAAAAATATATAAAGTGAAAAAAAGATGGAAACAGACTATAAAGAGATGATCAAAATATGTGATAACTGTTTAAATTAAAAACATTTATTACAAGGCCAGGCATGGTGGTACATACCTATAATCCCAGTACTTGGGAGGCTGAGGCAGGAGAATCGCTGCAAGTTTGAGGCCAACCTGGCCTACAAAGTGAGTTCAAGGCTAGCCTGAACTGCATAGCAAAACTCTGTCTCAAAAAGACAAAACAAACATTTGTTAAAGACATATTGCCATTAATTCCCCTCAAAATATTTACCTTCACTTCCAACATGCATATTCCATCATTCTTTCTGCTTTCTGAAGCATTTCTGAAAGTCTTTTTTCATGAGTAGCTTTACAAAGTGTGATTAAAAAAAAATATGTGACTGATGCTGCTAAGTACCATCCAGCAGAAAGGCAGGCTTATAAAAACATGGTGTGTCCCTATCCATCTTACTCATTGGATGTGGCACTGCATGACTTTGGGCTCTTCCCCAAAGTCAAATGACTATAAAAGGTAAACATTTTTAATTGAAACAGGACATTGGGGTAGCTACAACAGTGCAACAAAGGCACTCATGAAAGAGGACTTTCAGAACTGCTTCTGACAGTGGCAAGAACGATGGGATAAGTGTGTTGAAAATGAGCAGGGGCATTTTGAGGGGGATTAATGGCAGTGTGTCTTTTACTGTAATAATGTTTTTAAACATATGCTATATTTTTCAACCATACCTTGTACCTCAAAATTCTTTAGCAATCCACAAAAATGTAGAACTATTAAATTGTCTGCAGTGTGGTTTTTTTTTTTTTTTTTTTTTGTCTTTTTCAGACAGAGTTGCTATGCAGTTCAAGCTGGCTTTGAACTTACTTTGTAACACAGGCTGGCCTCAAACTCAGGACAGTCCTCCTGCCTCAGCCTCCTGAGTGCTGGGATTACAGGTGTGCACCACTATGCCCAGCTGCAGTATATTTTTTTCTACTTTTTTTCCTTGTGGTTCTTTTGCTGGAAATGAAAACTTGGAAGGCTCAACTCTAGTCTTTTGAAAAGTAGTACTTCTTCAACTTTGAGTTTTGTTTTTATTTTAAAGAAAAGGTATTTAACTGTTAAAGAGGAGAATTCTTATCTTAGATGTTGGTTTTTGTGAGACTGATGTATAGTTTAATCATATTTCCTATGATCATTTCCTTTAGAACCAGAGGCTTAAAGTTCCCAGTCCAAAGCGAAGAGCGGTCTGTGTGATGATAGTCTTGGCATTTATAATCCTGAACTATGGACCTATGAGGTAAGTGTATAGTTATTTGTTTTGATACTGATGCTAAACATTTTAATACTCATTATTTGTTATTCTTCAGCTCTGATCATAAGCTGGAGGAAAACTGATTTGTTTTGAACAGCATCAGCATCTTAGATGTGTAAAGAATGATTGGATAGGCCATGCCTTTAAAGAGTTCTTGATCCAGCTTGGGAGAGAGACTATTATGTCCTTTTACATAAAGATAGCCAGCGCTGGGGATATAGCCAGGGCCGGGGATATAGCTCAGGGACATAAGCAGTTGCCTGGAAAGCCTGAGGTCGTGAGTTTGATTCCCGGTACCAAAAAAAAAAAAAAGTGCATAAAGATAGCCATACTATAATGTGATTAGTATGATAATAGCAATATGGACAAGCTACTGGAAGAATATAAGTAAGTGTATGAGTTCTTTAGTGTAATAGTTCATGTCATATTGATAGGTCTGCAGTGTATTTTTTTGCTCATTGAATGATAAAAGAATTCCCACTGAGGAATCTGAACCTTGAAGTATATAACTAGTGTGTGGTGTGTGTGTGTGTGTGTGTGTGTGTGTGTGTATGTATTGGGAATTGAACCCAGGGCTTTTCATTTTTTATTTGAGACAGTGTCTCATTTAATTACCCAGGCTGGGCTCAAATTTGCAGCCTTCTTGCCTCCGCTTCCCAGTGTTCCGATTACAGGTATGTGCCACCACGTCCAGTTTGTGATATCAGTTTTCCAGGTGAAAGGCGTCAAGCAGAAGGAACAGCATGTTTAAAGGTGCCCTTATAAAATGGCGTGACATTTTCAGAAAAAATAAATGAAACACCTGAGGAATGTGTATGAAGCTAAATATACAACTGGAAGTATATGTAAGTAGATAGTGAAGGGCCTGCCTGCTGTTTACACAGTGAGATAGCCCTATGCTTTCGAGCTGGGGGTAAAATAATTAGCTCTTTTCCCTGATTTTCCTCCCTAGGAAGCTAGAGGTATAGTTTTTAACTACTATATTTAAGTATCAGTTTTTAAAGGTCACTGTTACTAATTCTACCCTTAAGATTATCTTTCAAGAGACTACTTCTTTTTGTTTTTAATATATGTTTATCTTTTTGTTTATTTTTAATTACCAGAGTAACAGGTTAAAGTAGAATAATAATTACTAAGATTGGAAAGGGTGAGGGAGCAGAGTAGAAATAAAGTGGGGTTAGATTTGATCAGTGCATGTGTATGCATGTATGGAAGTACCAGCAAAAAATCTCAGAGTATAGAACTGTGTAGAGTAAAACACAAAAGACTTACAGACCACCTTCTTCTTAGCCACCTCTCTCCTTCTGTTTGTTTTGGTTTTTTTTGAGACAGGGTCTCACTATGTAGTTCAGGCTGGCCTGGAACTCAGTGTGTAGTCCAGGCTCACCTCAAACTTGTCAAGATCCTCCTTCCTCAGCCTCCTGATTGCTGGGATTACAGGCATGTGACACCACACCCAGCTCCTTCTATGCTTTATAAATACTTTTTCTAGATTTCCAAACATACTATTTTACTAATTTAGTCAGAATATATTTATTGAATATTTTCTGAGTATGAGATATAATGTAAGACCAATAATAGTATGGCTAGCACAACTAACCTAATCCCTACTGAAGTGGAATTTATAATATAGTACAAGTGAACATATATTATTGAAATAATTGTACAAATAAATGCAGAATTAAAACCATGTAGGTGCCATGAGATCATAAGACCATATAATGGGCTCAGTTGACTTAGTTGGGGAGGTAAAGCATGGTTTCTCTGAGCAAGGGGTGATTAAATTAATCTTAAAAAGGTTAAGAGTTATTTAGATAAGATAAATAAAGAAGCCGGGCTGTGGTAGCCCATGTCTATAATTCCAACACTTGGGAAGCTGAGGCAGGAGGATTGCTGTGAGTTTGAGGCCAGCCTGGGCTACAAAGTGAGTTCAAGGCCAGCCTGAACCGCATAGTGAAACCCTGTCCCAAAAAGACAAAAAAAAAAAAAATTCATATAAGGCAAACAGTACAAATACATGTAAGCTCACATTTATTTGTGTTTTTATATTTATATTAATACAGCTTTAAAAATTTGCCTTTACATAAGAGATTACGTACATATTATCAGTCCTATGTTAGTTTAGGTGCCGCTGTTGGAGGCTGCCTTGGGCTCCCTTCTCTAAATGACCTCCCATGTTCTGCCATCACACTCCCCCGTCCTCTTTCCTCCTTTTGTTTTTTACATTAGCAACTTTCATCACCTGTGTAGCTTATTCACATTATTGTCCTTCTTTTCCTGTAAAGATTTTTGTCTCCTTTGTTATCTAGTGCTGTAGAATGGTAGTCACTCAGGAAGTATTTGTTATGTGAACAAATGAGTGCTCCTCCCCACTGATGGTTATTTTTTAAACATCTTTAACTAGTTTTATTCATTTCCCTTTTAAATATTACTTATAGTCTTGCTTAAAAAATCTTTTCATTTTGTTGGAATTGCTATAAACCTACTTGTACATTAAGTATGCACCTGGTATTTGTACACAACTAACCTGCTTGCCATACTCTGGGTATATTTACTAATTCCCACTTTTGTATTTTTGTATACTGTATTCCTAAGCCAAAAGAACTTCCTTCTGTCTTTCAGTTGGTTCTTAGTTTTTATTTATGATTTTAAGAAATTCTCCCTCTGACATTCTTGGTATTGTTTTATTCATTCGACCACTTTTCCTCAGTTGTGCCATTCGTCATAGATACTTTCTTCCACTTGATGAAGTCTTGTTTGCACTATTAATTTTTATGCATATTTCATCCCTGCTGTAAGGTCTCAGATCATGCAGTTTAATTCTCAGATTTTTCTCCTTACAGATAATGCAGTGTTTATCACAGGACACATTATGCTTTTATACATGTTCATTTACCATTGCTGAAAACTACATGCTTTTTTTCTTGGTACTGATGACTGAACCCAGGGCTTTGAACATGGTAGGCAAACACTCTGCCACTGAACTCCACCCTTAGCCCTTGAGCATGCTTTTAGTCCCTCATTTTTTAGGTGAGGCTCAGATATTATCTTATCTGAGGTACATGTTTATTTATTTAGTTAGACACAGTAAATATTTGTAGAGCACTGCTTGTTTGCAGGTACTATGCAAGGAATGAGGGATGCAAACATGAATAAAAGTAGTCTACTGAAAGAAGCAGGCATGTAAACAACTGTGGTATGAGGAAGATTTATGAAGATGGCAGGAAGATACAGGCATTAGAAAAAGAAAAAGGTATTTTCTTTATATAACACTTTTTGCATCAAATGTATTGGTTTTCTATACCAAGCAATTCTTTAATTTTCTAGGCATCAATTGGGTGTCCTAAAATTTAAGTAATTCTGACACTACTTAGAGTTGGTACAGACTCTTACACAGTTAAGGGCTCAGTACCACAGACTGCCCCTGACATGAATCACCAGTCACACATCCCATGTCACCTATAACTTTGACCTATAACTTGGCTGTGAATTGAGACTTCCCAAGCCCCTCTTTACCCTACGGTTCAGTAATTTTCCAGAATGGATCATAAAATTTAGGGAAACGCTTTACTTACTATTATTGGTTTATTGTAAAGGATACACAGGGCAAGCCAAATGGAGGAGATACCTTGGGTAAGGTACAGTGGAAGGCAAGATCCCTCCATTCCATTTGCACAACTAATTTAGCATCTTCTTGTGTTTGCCAGCGCAGAAGAACCCATTATTTAGAGTTTTTATGGAGACTCCATTAACTCAGTGTGAGTGATTAAGCTGTTGACCTCTGGTGATTGAACTCAGTTCCCTCCCTGGAGTTTGGGAGATGAGACAGAAAATTTGAACTCAATAATGACATGGTTGGCCCTTCTGGCAATCAGTCTCCATCTTCCTGGAGTCATCTCATTAGCATAAACTCAAGTATGGTTGGAAGGGACTTATGAATAATGAAAGATGCTCCTCTCTGCTGTCACTGAAGAGCTCCCAAGGCTCTGTGCCGGGAACCCAGGACAACCACCAAATATGCATTTCTTATTCTATTACAGTATCACAGGCTTATTCTTTTTTTGAAAGGGGGTTTTGCTGTATCACCTAGGCTGGTTTCAAATTCCTGGGCTCAAGTGATCTTCCCATTTCAGCCTCCCAAGTGCTAGGACTATAGGTACAGGCCACCACACCTGCACAGACATATTCTTGAGGGAGTGTAGCAGTAGCCAGTAACACTGATAGTGCAGTCTTGGGAGGCTTTATGCTATAGTGAGACAGACAGGAGCCCTTATGGGGATGAGAAATAGGGGGATTCTTGGGCCTTAATCCATGACCTGTTATCCACTGAAAGTAAAGATATTTCTTCCTATCTTCCCTTGCCAGCAAGGTATAGAATGTGCTTTCCATTACTGCTTTACTTCTATTTCAAGGACCAAGTCCCCTGTGACAACCTGGGGTAGGAATGGGGGTGGTGCACCATGATGTCTCCCAGGAGAATAGCTGTTGAGAATAGCTGTTGATGTATATCATAGACTGGAAGAGACCCTTTAAGAAAGGAAGGTTTCTAAGAAAAAAAAATTCCATACTCAAAACCCAGTGGAAAATTACCAAACCCAAGCAATCTCATAAAAGCTGACCCCTTCCTTTGTTAAAGGACCAGTCTTATTTTCTCCAGCAGAGCTGTACCCCCTTCAGCTTTTCTTAAGTTGAAATCCATTCCCTCTGTTCTCTTCCTTCTCAACTGAAGTTTTTGCCTGTAAGTGCAGATGCTCTTGTTTCAGTTTTAATATGCATTATCACTCAGACAGAAGTTCCCATGCCTCTGGTGTCTTAGCATTCAGTGAACAAATGAAAAGATCTGGATTATGCTGTAGGAGGTAAGAGAGGGATTGGGGTAAGCTTCTTGTGGAAAACCTCATGTGTAAACCTAAATTTGGTTTAAAAAAAAGACTGAAAAAAAGTTTTAAATGAACTAATGATCTTCACAGCTGCTATGGGGATGG